TTGTGTTGCACCTAAAAAACGAGCTTGTTTGTCTTTTGCCTTGGAAATATTTACTGTATTCTGGTTCGCTTAGGTTAGGCCAGCCGCTTTTGATTACGGATACATCCCTTAGTCGACGGGAGCATCACTGAAACATGTGAGTGTTATTCTTAGCCATTCTCCTTCTCGGTCTGAGCACATCAACCACGTGTTTGCAAAAGTCAAAAGGCTTTCCTTTTGCCCTACGCCTAGGGAGATTATCTATTCCCTCCCAAATGATAGAACAATATGTTCATGTCTGCATCTTATCTCACTGGCTCTATGCTTCCCCAGTGATTTTCTCTAGTTTATTACAAAATAATATGTGTTATGTCTAGGTCACTCAGACATTTATCCATCTGTTGTTGTGATTTACCAAAATTTTATTTGATCCATCACGTAGTCTACAAACACCTTAAAGTTTATGATAAACTGGATCACAAAATACTCTCTGAATCCTGTCACACACTTAACTTCGCATTACCAAAATGTATTTTAATCTCTTCTACTCGCCTCCCGTATACACTCCCGTTCAAGCCAGCACAAAAGCTTACTAATCTTCCATAGTTTCCTATTGTTCTCGCATTTTATGCCTCCGGGGCCGATGTATTCATAGTTTTGAGCGAACACCATAAACTGAGTGATTCTAATCCGTACGACCATTTGTGTTAAGTAGTTCGCATGTGAATTGGCACCAAACGGTGTAACAAGGCAATTTCCTGATTTAACTTGCACATTTCGTGCTTAAATCCTTTTTCAATCTTCAACTTGTGCTTTGATGCAACGGAAGCCGCATTTCTTCGCCATCATGGCATATTTTTGATCCGTTAAACAGTGTGCAGATTCGGTGTTTTGTTTTCCAAGGGGACTGTTTCCGAAATTTTGTCGTATCCCGTGTTACACTGCCTCTTGCGACAAACATTTTGGTCATTCATATTCTATGTACCAGATACCATTATATTCTTCGGGTTATGGCAGTAAAAGCTGAGAATGTTTCGCCACACGCATGAACAACCCTGTGGTCACATTTATGTCTCTCTTTCTCCCTAACTCCGATTTAGATCGGTCGCCAACTGAACCCTCGGGCAGGAGTGTGGAGTAGTTTCCGGTGCCTGATATGCTTATCCACTGAGTGATGCGATGCGTTCTGAGTTCATAACATGCAACCAGGGAGCAAGAATATGGACGGAGCCGAAAAACCGATAGCGGGCGCCTATGTACCACGGTCAAACATTGAACCAGATGGGGTTTTCTCGTCTAAAAAACATGAAACGAGTAGTTTTTCGAGCGCGCGCACACACATAGTTGCGCTTACTTCTCCGATGATTCACCCTAATGACAAGATTTGGCGCCCAAAGGGACTGAGACAACGCTGAGACTGACGCTATGATCTTCCGAAAATCTGCTTTGTTTGCGCATCACAAGGAGCGCCAATCATGATCCACGTCAGAAATGCCTCGAATATCCGGATTGACCGATTGATACTGCGGATATATCTTGTGGTCTAGCATGTACTACTTGATTGTTCCACAAAATGTGGAAACCGATTTGGATTTTTAGAACAATGACCAATCATAAATCCGAAGTGATTGAAAATGTGAACTCATTTGATCGCGGTGCATGGGTTACAGAATTCTGCACACACACACACACACACTGACAGAACGGGACGGACGACTTTGTGTCATCAGTATCTATTCTGTCACAACGAGAGAAAACAAAAAGAAATCAGTTCATTTCTGAATGACTAGTACTCTACTGAATACAACAATTGGCGAGTAATATTTATGACTGTTGAAAAACAAACATGATAATTGCATATTACAGATTACACGCCATGTACTGCCACTGTTAACCCAAAGTACGTTCACTAATGCACTATCGATTCCATGCCCCCCCTCCTCCGAACTCGGAGCAATACACCGATGTACTAGGGGGGGGG